GGTATTTGCTGATTCTAATGAGATTACATTCATGTAAACTTGAAGTCCCCATCTATTTCTATGTGTCATTGTGCCTACATAAATAGCAAGATATTTTCCCTGAAATAAATACGAGTTATAGATCATTGCCCTATGCATAATTTATATGTATGCAATATTTATGTGATATTCCAATGTTTTGCATGGTGGTCTATTTTGAGGAGTTTAATGGTGTTTTCATGTGAACTTATTGTAAATTAGGGACTAATGGATCAGAACAGATAAGTGAATATCTGTGACAATTTTTAGTCCAGACCTTCCACACAAAAATATAAATTTATTGTGTTCTTTGCACAAAAGGGGATGTGACCATGTTTGGATGTTTCATGTCTAAAATTGTTAAGTGGATAGCAGTGACATTTGGTTACAGAAGCTGTACACTAGATGTTAGATTTTATTTCTGTTTGTCATTAGCCAAATATGAAGTAGCCAGTGTAATACTATGACTGCAGACCTGATACTTTTCCAATGCATTATGAAAGGTTAAACAGTTTCTCATGCAGATTTTGTATTATCTTGCCCATTGTCTGTGACAACCTTTCTTCCTTCATTGTTATTATTCTTATCTTAGTGTGTTTCTTGTCTTTCTGCAGGGAAGCTAGATCATTGCAAGCTGAAGTGCTTATTAAAAGACCAAGTTCAGAAAGACGTGACAAGACTGAGTAGACTGGAAGATGTTTGTCAAGTGTTTGCATCATTGTGGTCATATCATCTTTGTATGGAATCATATCCAAATCCACATGATAATTTTTTACGAGCTGGAGGAAATTCATTTCTTGCATTGCAGCTAGTGTCTGAACTGGAAGAAGTTTCAGGTTCATCTGCACCTACCAGTCTTGTTGGATCACTTCTTGGGGGCTCCACATTTGAAGAGTGTTGTGCATATTTGAGTTCTCCATGTCAGAGGGAATTAGGAAGAAGTTCTGTCGTCGCATCAAAACAGCATCTCGAAGAATACAAATACAGAAAGAGGTTAAGCAATTTTGAGAGCTGTGACTCAGTGAAATGTTTAAAGTTTGAACAAGTTGAAATTAGTGCCATTGGAAGTACTGAGATGGAAGACTTCAATAAAAATGCTGTGCTTGTCTCAGGGTGTCGAGGTAAAACTGAAGGATTTGGAACATGGACAGAGGCTTGTGTCTTTCATACCCATAACAACATTCAGCTTGAAGTGAGATGGAAGTACAACCTAGGAAAATGTGTGGATGCATCCCCACGTTTCCTTAAATACAAAAGGTATGATTCTGTTTGTTGGTTCACATTGTGTTCATTACATCACATGGTCCATTTGTTTACAATTTAGAACAATGTATTTTTGATTGTCAGGGTGAATGCAAGCAGAAAAATATAAGCAATTGGGAAGCATGGATAATCTGAAATATTATATTTTTAACTTATACACATAGCACCATGAGCTACTTATATAATGCTGCATTTGTAATGTGAGTAATTATAGGTACAATAGTAGCACATTATGTCATAGGTGGGTTGCAGTACATTGCTTCAGTCTTTCCTTCCTGCCTGACTTGTCTATTCTTCTATTACATTTTGTATCAGTTTGTTAAGTATGAATTATAACTTAATGCAGATGCACAATGAAAAGATAGGAAAGAGGTGAGAGTATGTGTAGTTTGCATGTCCTGTATTAATTTCACTGTGTGACATGTCTGTGGCATTTGCAAGTGATACCACATAAATTTCACCATAGCGAGACAGTAATAAACAGGTCTTCTGCTCTTTTCAACTTTGTCATGTGGGAACTGTTAAGCTATTAAAATAATTTTTTTTGTGTGGTGTGTCTTTATGTAAAATTTGAGGTTTTCACAGCAGTGAGTATGAAGATTTCTGTGCAGACTGGTCGATGTTAACCAACGTTTCAGAGGTCATACTGCCTCCGTCATCAGGGCGATGAATAAGCCAATAGGATGTGTGAGGCTAGGTTTATAAGTGCCAGAATGTGAATGGTGTAGCCTGCCCAGAGCCAATGGGAGCAGGCGTGGGAGTGGACCAATAGGAGTGCGTGGGCGTGTGTGACAGAGGGAGAGAAAGTAGAGAGGGAAAGGTGGAGTTTGGTTGAATGGATCAGGGCCCTGAAAAGGGCCATGTTAGTCGTCTGGTTGTTTCTGGCGGTGCACTCTTGCTCGCTCTCGGAGTCCTCGAAGAGTGTGAATAAGAGGCTTCCAGGACCGGCTCAGGTGAAGTCCATCCTCCCTCAATAAAATTTTCTCGGATGTTCAGCCGAGAAAATTTTATTGAGTCGTATTACCTGTGTTATATTCTGCAAAAAGTCATCTTAAAAGAGGTTGCACCATGCAAAATTGCACAGTCACCATTATTATTAATTATAAGGTGGTGTGCCCTCTGTTGACAATACTTGTATACCAAATTTAATGAATATTTATCAGTTCAAAAGTTATTTGAGATATTAGCACATGCTTATGATGATACCACAAGCCATCTAAAATAAGGAATGTAGGCTAAAAGATCTTTAAATTGTGTAGATTTTAATAACTGTGAATACAGAGGTGACCTTTTATCATTCTGCAAATTTCAGCTGTGTAGTTATCCATAATTTTACAGTTTGTGTGTGCAAATGGTCCTCATAGTTTGCTGTGTAATTTCTCTTAGTCTATCCAAGCAAAGAGATATTATATTGTTAAAAGCTCATTGTGGCTTCTCTTCAGTTTATCAAGGCATAATCATTTTTGACTTTATTTATAGGTAAATAACATGTTCATTTGATACATTGTCATTCAGTAACCAAGCACCATTGTCCTTGCAGTGGTGATGAGAGAGTACTAACTGGATCCCACTCACATGTATTTGCCATCGTTGACAGCAGAACAGCAGAATTGATTGCAGAGTGCAACTTGATGGACCGAATTGAGTCTTCTTTGTGTGCCTCTCCTTGTGGGAAGTTTGGAATTGTAGGTAAGTATGTAATTTATGTGCACAGTGTAGAGGCCCTCTTTCTGTTATGGTTTGCGAAATACGGATACTTAACATATCCTTCATGGCAAGACAAAAGAGGTAAGAAGAAAATGTTGATTTTAACTTAACAGGGTACTTCAGAACTAAGTGCAGAAGAAATTTATTTTTATGTTGTAGGTCACAGACAAAAAGTGGAAAGAAAAGTGAAGATGCCTGTCTTCTGGGTTGCAGAGCTGTGTAATCTGGTAGAAGTTTACCAACGAGGTCATGGCTGCCTTCATCATCAGGGTGATGATGATGGAGGCAGCAGTGACCTTTAATAGGTCGGTGAACTTCTACCAACTACATGGCACTACAACCCAGAAGACATCCGTCTTTGCACTCACCACCATGACAACCTCAAATACTACTTGGAAAAAAAAAAGTTTATATATTCATGAATACAAAGTTTTAAACATTTTTTACCATGTATAGAAACTAGCAGGTATGATTTACATTTCCTGTTGATTACCTTGTGAAAAATGAAAAATAAGGGACGTTTAAAAAGAAGCGCGTCACCCTCGGTGGACTAGTGGTTAGCATGCTTGCCACTGGACCCAAGGTTCGCGGGTTCAAACCCGGCCGAGGTCGATGGATTTTCAAGGGTGATAAAAATCTGTAGCACAACTTCCTTCGGAGGGGAAGTAAAGCTGGCGGTCCCATGTCGTAGATTTACGGCATGTAAAAAACCTTACGAGCATGAACGAGATGTTACGTTAGTAAAATTCAGTGGCCATTTCTCACCCAAGTCTCTCCTGATTCTCTACTAGATGGCTCTAGCAGACAAATCAGGATTGAATAGAAATTGTGCAGAGGCAGTGGGCTTGTCACTCATTACTCATAAGTGCACACTACAATGACATAGAAACCTCCCATATGGGAGGAGGCTAAGGCTTGACTTTAGGTTGTTGCACCATAGAAGAAGAAGAAAATGAAGCACAAGTATTTATTTTCCCACAGAAGGAAGGTTTTGACTTGGTGTGCCTATGGTGAACACTCTTGTTTTTACCATATTCTTAGTAATGGTGGCAATGGAACGTACAATGTACTGGCCTTCTAAAATTTAAATTTCTTTGTGTATGTCTGAATAATGGTGTGAGCGTGTGTCATTGCAGGCAGCTACAATGGATGTGTATACTGCATTGACTTACATACTGGTGTTACTAAGTGGAGTTTTCATACAAAAGGGCTGGTGAAGAGTTCTGCAGCACTTTGTTTGAATGGTTCTGCAGTTGTAGTGGGATCATATGACCAGTTTCTGTATTGCATTAATATTTTGGTATGTTGGTTACTTTGATGTCTTGAGGATTTATTATATATAGCCAAACTTATGTGATTTGGGCATGCATGCAGTCTAGAAAGAGAAACCTAGTTTAAATCTCTCAGTCTCTACCTTTATGTTTTCACAAGTAATAAAAGCTGCTTATAGCACTTTTTTATTTTATTAAGTGAAGGATTACATTCAGTCACTGTAAAAACTTCAACTCTTACACTGTCCTTTACTTTGTGTGTTTTTTTGTAAGCATTCTGCAGACATGGTTAAGATGTAACATAGATTGTGTATACGCCCAGTAAATAACAAAATTCCAGCATGCACACTGGACTCAGGTGTGACACCGATCACACATGGAATATGCTACTACCTCCAGTCCTGCTGATAAAACATACAAAAAACATGGATCTGTTCCATAATTTTTAATTATCGTAGTTGTTAGGATGTTACTAGACCGCAGTAGACATGAATCTATGAGCCATGTAACAACAAACTTGTACTCTTGATGTTCACAGTGTACAGTATTATCAGCTCTTGTAATAACTTTGCCTTTAAGAAATGTGCATAATATAGTTTTCATTGTAAGTTTGCACCTCTAGTTAATAGTGTGCGGTTTGGAATTTGCCATATATCTTAATTTGTTTTATGGTAACCAGCTCTCTGGCCTTACAGTCCACGATTTGCTGTCTTGTGATAATGTTGCTTGGCTGCTGTATAAAGTTCCAAGATATGGCATGATGTTCATACTGAGTTTCATGAGAAAATTAGTGTCTGTAATAACTATGACTGATTGCAGAAACTGAAAGTTCAACACTGGCAAAACCTGCACCCGCCACTGTACATGAATTTGAACCCAAAGAATCGTCCAATTCTGTGGCATTTGTAAAAGTTCTATGAACACTTTATGGTAAAGGATCGTTTCCCCTGTGCTGAACCCCCCCGGCTATGAAGCCATTCTTTGTTGACTGTCCTTAGCTGCTTATTCAGTATACTTGCAGTTAACCTTAATTTATAGTGGTTGTCTCTAAAATTTAGGAACTACCATGTTGTGGTAACAAGAGATCCACATATCCTAGAGTGTTTTAACTCCATGTAGCAGAATCATTTAGTCAAGAAATTATCTGAGTTTTTCCAGATAAAATTCATCTGTAGTACTAATTTATTTAATTTAATTATGCCATATGGTTGCCTGTTTCTTTGGAATCATAAGAAATTCTTACAAATCTGGTTTCCATCTACAGTGGTATATTTTTGGAGGTATGAGGTACTGCATTGAAAGAGAACTTTTATTAAATTGGGTAATATTAGTACAGTATACAAATATGATATTTGTCTTCCGTGCAGGATGGCCACTTGATTTGGTCAGTAGAACTTGGAGCTGGCAGTATCTATTCTTCTCCCTGTGTTGCCAGAGCTGTATTTGCAGCTGCATTGGATGGTACATGTTCTTCTCTTGCTGAGAACGATGGTCACCTCCTTTGGAAGTGTAAATTCAACAGTCCAGTGTTTTCATCACCGGCAGTGATACAAGATGAAAGTGCAGTTCTTTTTGCTGAAGTTTCAGGAAT